ACACTAGGTTCGATCATACATTTGCATACAACGGTAAGTAACATGATTGACTTTGGGAGTGATGACGATGTCTTGCAAAGAATGCGGCATGCAAAGAATGCGGCATCTCAAGCTTTTCTCAAACTTTTCTCAGCTGTGTTCAACCAACCGCTTGGTTCTTGGAATGTTGCGAAAGTAACATGGTTTCAAACCATGTTTAAAGGCTGCAGTGAGTGTTTTTGTTAGGATTACTTCTCTCTATGATTGAATATATCTAGTCTCACTCATATTACGATGTGTCACCATTCATTCAATAGCATCATTCAATCAAGACCTCAGCACCTGGGATGTCAGCGTGGGAAGACTCTTTTATGATATGTTTTTAAATAGTGGCTTCAATCAAGACATATCTGGTTGGAATGTTGCAAAGGGTACCGAATTCACCAGTATGTTCAGCAACAGCCCTTTCAACTATAACCTTTGTGAGTGGGGGAATGGAGCCAACCCAATTGCAGACAACACAGCCATCACCACAGATTTCTTTACGTTGACGGCTTGCCCAACAACTGCAAATCCAGTCTTGACAGATTCCCCGAGAGGGCCATTTTGCCACCTATGTACATAATCATAAATTTCTGTATACATAAAATTATATATTACACTGAGATGAAAGAAACATATATCAAGAGATTGCACGACCACAAAGTTGCTCCTATTGCTGTAGTTTCTTCCTTCAACCGCAATATTGGCTCCTGGGATGTAAACAGCGTCACTCGATTAGATGGAATGTTTGAGAAAAATTGTAAGTAACGTTAAGACTTTTGGGAGTGACAGCTGTGTCCTGCCAAGAAAGTGGTGTCTCAAACTTTTCTCAGCTTTATTCAACCATCCGCTTGGTTCTTGGAATGTTGCGAAAGTAACATGGTTTCTCGATATGTTTGAGGACTGTAGTGAGTGTGTTTGTTATAGGATTCCTTCTCTATATGATTGAATACATCTAGTCTCACTCATATTACGATGTGTCACCATTCATTCAAGAGCATCATTCAATCAAGACCCCAGTACCTGGGATGTCAGCGCGGGAACAAGGTTTGATCTTATGTTTGAAAATAGTGGCTTCAATCAAGATGTATCTGGTTGGAATGTTGCAAAGGGAACCGATTTCAACATGATGTTCAAAAACAGCGCTTTCACACTAGACCTGTGTGACTGGGGGAATGGAGCCAACAAATTGCACTCAACACAGCCATCACCACAGATTTCTTTGCATTGACGGCTTGCCCAACAACTGCAAATCCAGATTTGACCATATCCCCTAGAGGGCCATTGTGCCACCCATGTATTACATAATCATAAATTTCTGTATACATAAATTATATTGAGATGAAATAAAAATATATCAAAAGATTGCACGACTATTGTGGTCGTGGAGTCATAATTCCTTTGTTGTAAGTAATGAACAGTCGAAATTTCAGGACTAGGTTCTGTGGGATCAGGTGCTAGAAATTGAGGACCATTGTGGGGAACAAGAGCCGAGGAGCGTTGCTGGAGGATTTGTATGCCAGTTTCAACAAAGCAGGAGACATGTTGTCTCCGAATCAGTTGGGAGACGTTCGGAAGGAATGCTTGCTAGCATTTCATCACAACGTTCAGGTATACTCCGAAGAATCCCATATGTTGTACGATGCCGGACGGGGTGGGTGGAACATGGTTGTTGGATGGGTTACCAAAACACAGTGATTGATCCAACGACAACTCGATCGCCGCCGCCTTTGAAACACCACCAAAAGACCGTATCTAACAATCCACAGCACAGGTACAGCGTACCGTACCGGTAGCTTCTGAGCGACTCAGTTTGCAACAAGGGGCAATACCTCCGCAGTCTATCTGCCTGAGCCCTCACCCCCTTTACCTCGGCAGTCTATCTGCCTGAGCCCTATACCCCTTTTTTGGTATTTCCTATTTCCTATATCCTGTTTCCTATTTCCTATTCCGGTGAAGCCAAGGTATAAGGATAGAGATAGTCATAAGCCAACAAAACTGAACATTGATGGTTCAATACAAGTTAGGGGTAGGAATAAATCATTAATATTTAAGGTTAGTGCAATCAGCACAACAGCACAATAAACCAGCAGGAGCTGTAAAGGTTCGAGTTACAATAGGGGAATGGCAGCTGGTAAATTATAGAGTAACGGGGTCGCCAGGGCTAGCTTAACCTCGGCAGTCTATCTGCCTGAGCCCTCACCCCCTTTTTTGGTATTTCCTATTTCCTGTTTCCTATTCCGGTGAAGCCAAAATATAGGGGTAGAGATAGCTTAAGCCAACAAAACTGGAAATGAAGGTTCTGCAAATTTAGGGGTAGGAATAAATCATGATTATTCAAGGTTAGTGCACTCAACACAATAAGTCAGCAGAAGCTACAAAAGTTACAGGTACATACGGGAGTGATAGCTGTAAAATTATGGTTAGCGGGCGGCAACACACGACGAAGTCGGGTGTTGTCGCCAGGGCTAGCTTAAATTAAAAAGAAGGTTACAATGAGGGAATGATACCGGGCGGCAACACACGACGTAGTCGGGTGTTGTCGCCAGGGTTGGCTTGAAAGATGGGTGCAATCTCGAACATGATCCTCCTTCTTCTGTCTGTCTTTCTGCCGAGGGATCGCAGCTCCCGCTGACGTATTTGGTATTTCCTATTTCCTATTCCGGTGAAGCCAAAGTATAAGAATAGAGATAGTAATAAGCCAACAAAACTGAACATTGATGGTTCAATACAAGTTAGGGGTAGGAATAAATCATTATTTACGTCTCCTGAGACGACGCACCTTTTGGTTACCCCCTCAGTTGCACTCTGAAATGGATTGGCTTGCGTTTACTGTGTAAATTAGTGTACCCGCACTTCAGTTGCAGAATCAACGGTCATGTGTATCCCTAAGTACCAAACCTGTACGCGTGTGTGTGTAACAGGTTCTTGTTTGACAAAAATAGATCGATTCGTGGAAAAAATGTCTGTTGAAGTTACTAAGGTTAAGGATAAACCGATCGGAGCGAAAGTCCATTGAAGGCGCAGCACTGACTTCTCTCCCTCATTGAATTCGTATGGTAAACAGGAGGTAAATCCAAGCTTGGCCGACAACAATGCATGGTGAGTGCTTTATCCAATCGGCCGATCGATCGAATTGATTCGAGGTAAGCCTATTATCAAGAGTGTTAATTGAAGGTACAGCGCTGACTTCTCTCCCTCATTCATTTCTATGGTATTCAGGAGAAAATTCCAAGCTCGGCCGTCAAGAGGTGAGTTGTTCTTTAATTATTGGAATCGAGTCGATGATTGCACCTCTGATTCTCTGTTATCCAAGCCTCGCTCAAGCCGGTCGTCTCCGGTGTAGAAGCGAAAGCCATCCCTCATTCAATCCTATGGACCGCGGGAAAGCAGTCAGTTCTCGGCCCATGACGGCCAAGTTGGTGCAATTTGAAAAGCAAGGGTAAGTCGCTGGTTTTCTTCAGTTCAGCACAGAAAACAAAACTCATATCTATTTGTTGTTTTCTCTGCTGCACTGCCGACGGCCGGCAAACTATCATTGTCGAGTCCTTTTCGATCGACCGCTCCGGATAACAAGAAGATGAGAGGCTGCCGCTATGGAGGAGGAGGCTCTGTTAACTCCAGTCCTACCAACAGCCTGAACAGAGGAGCCTATCGTCGTCGAGTCATTGAAAGGCGACAGCCATCGGAAGAGGCAACAACACACAAGGGAGTGGATTCTCCTACCGGATTCATCCCTTCTTGTTATTTCCCACTGTTTTGGTGGTGATTCCTGTGTCGGTACCCATTTTCCTGTAAGCGCAAGTCAAGTACTGTTGCCACTAGCTATACGATAGCTGGCTACGATGGCTGGATTGACAATGTTCGGTTGTGCATGTATTCGTCATAAGGATCCAATGCAAGGTACCAGGTACCAGTAACGGAGCGTAGTAGCGAGCATAGCCGAAGCTGAGTGTGTTCGGTACTGTTGCCGATGTAACTATACGGTAGCTAGCTACAATGCCTGGATTGACAATATTCGGTTGTACATGTATTCGCGAGATACCAGGTACCAGTATCGGAGCGTAGCGAGCAAGGCCGAAGCTGAGTGTGTTCGGTATGGATACTGTTGCCAATGTAACTATACGGTGGCTAGCTACATGGCTGGATTGACAATATTCGGTTGTCATGTATTCGTCATAGGATCCAATGCGAGGTACCAGGTACCAGTAATGGAGGTAGGAGCTAGGAGCGAGCATAGCCGAAGCTGATTTGTTCGGTACTGTTGCACTGTCGCCGATGAAACTATAGGGTAGCCGGCTACCGGTATACAATGGCTGGATTGACAATATCTGGTTGTAACTGTTGGTTGGGCAAAGGGATACAGGAGACCAGCGCTGAAAAAAAAAAACGAATATTTAAGGTTAGTGCAATCAGCACAATAGCACAATAAGCCAGCAGGAGCTGTAAAGGTTAGAGTTACAATAAGGGAATGGCAGCTGGTAAATTATAGAGTAGTGGGCGGCAACACACGACGTAGTCGGGTGTTGTCGCCAGGGCTAGCTTAATAAAAAGAAGGTTGCAATGCGGGAATGAATGATACCGGGCGGCAACACACGGCGTAGTTGGGTGTTGTCGCCAGGGCTAGCTTCAAAGATGGGTGCAATCGGAACATGATCTTCCTTCTTCTATCTGTCTTTCTGCCGAGGTATCGCAGCTCCCGCTGACTTAAATTATTCCTCTCCTCGCTCTGCGCATAGGGGTCACTGCAGGCCAGGGGGTGGCACAAATCACCTTTGATCGACTGACTGTTTCCTCCACCATCTTTGAATGTCTACAACCAGCTTTTTCAATGTTGTTTCTTTGTTACTAATGTTAGCCTATGCATTTCCCTATTCATTGATTGATTGCCCCCATCACCACTCGTTGTTGTTGTATTGTTGCATCGTTGTTGTAGTTGTGGTTTGCCCTATCCCATCACTGTTGTTGCTGTTGTTGTTTTAGCCAAAGAGGAAAGACATGAAGCCAAAATAGGAAGAAGCCGGAGGCTTCTTGGGAGTGGCAGCCCGCTTCTTAGGAGTAGAGGGCTTGCCTCCATCCATGTTAACGTCATCATCACCACCCTTCTTGGGGGTGGTACGGGGCTTCTTGGCACGGCCACCTCCACCACCAAAATTGTCGAAGTCATGGTAGTCGTCGTCATCACATTCGTCCCACGATCCATCAATGTGGAGTCCACCACTTTTTCCACGGAACTGGTGAGGCTTGTCTTCCTTGAAGAAGACAGTGACCACGTAGGATGGTGCAACTGTGGCACCACTGCCAGTGGAGGCAATGTGATCAATCTCATAGAGGGATTGATGATCCCGAACTGGGCGTTCACGGAGGCCAAGCGCCCATGGATCAAGAGCCACAAGCTCACTCTTCCGCCCATCCGGCCAGGACACAGTTACATCCTCCTTCTCATAATCAACGCCAGCAGCAGTGTCCATCCAGCACACATCATCAATCTGGGTGGCAATGCGGGCTGCCAAATCCACATTCTGGTCCTTCCAGCGCTGCTTGCAAAGGGAGCTGCCCTTGCTGAGTTCAGGGGCAATATCACATTCGACATTGACCTGATTGGGATCCTGATAGGACGGCTGGATATGCAAAGTACTCAGCACGGCACCAGGGGGCACACGGATCTGGACTCCCAGGATGTTGCACATCTTCACAACACCACCGCGGATCTTCACCTCCTCAAGCGAAAACATCTTGAGCTTCATATCTGTTTCGGTCAAGTCTAAATCCAAATTCTCAAATGCACCGTGGAGATCCTCTTCGGTCTTGGTCTTTGGCTGCTTCTTGGCTGGCTTCTTGGGTGGTTCCGGTTCCTCGGCGTCAGGTGGACCAGCAAAAGGGATGTCCGGATCAGGATTGGGCTCTTTGGCTGCTCCCTCTGGATCGTCTTCTCCAAGATCTCCTGGTTGCTGGGGGTTGTTGGCACAGCTACCGGCGAGGCCAGAGTCAGTCAAACCAGAGTCGCGTTGAAAGGAGGCAGGGTATCCTAGAAAAAGAAAGAAATAATGAGTGAATGGATCATGGATAATGCAAACAAGCAATGATGACTTACCAGCACCGGAAACAAGCCAAGTCTTGAAGCGAGTGGCTTGACGGTGGAAATTCGAACGCACTTTCTTGGTGGTGTCGTCGTCAGGCCCAGGATGGTCTTGAGCACAAGCTTGGACTTGGACTTCGTTCTCGTTCAGGTAGGTCTCCCAAGAGTAATCAGCTTCAAGAGCAGAGATGCCAAGGCCTTTGGCTTCTTGCGCTTTGAAGATGAAGAAGCGAGCGAAGTGCTCAGAATGTGAGCCATTTGGCTGGAAGTTCTTTTTCTTGGCCATGATCGATGATTGTGAGTTGTGAGAAAAGCGAGGGATTTCATTCAAATTCAAATCATCGCTCGTCGCTCAAATCGGTTCAAACGTCGCGCAAGGACCAACAAACACACACAACCTTGTAAGTGAACGGGGTTTTCAGGGGAAGCGCCATGGCCGACGATGTTTTGTTTACAGGAAGATCGAACATGGATGCGGTGTTTGAAAAAGTCGAAAAGTGAAGAAATGAGGATCCGGCGATCGGAAGCAATAAATCTGCCGCAAGTAGAGCTGTGTGCCACTGGTACAAGATGACATTTTCCTCCTCTTTCTTGTTCCGATTCCAACCACTCGGAACCAGCTTCAACCAACTTCAACCAACCTCAACCGACACAAACCGACTCACACCGCGCACAACCGCTCGTTTTACCGCCTTTTACCGCCTTCACTGGGAATGAAAAACTCTGCAGAAACGCCCTTTTTGAGTCCGCAGAAACACTTTTTTTCCTGAAGCAGGCTGGCGTGCACTCTGCAGAAGCCCTCGAACTCTGCAGTTCCGAAAGCC